ATGAGAGAGAGAGAGGGGAGAGAAATTTGGACGCTGGTTTTAACGTCAGCAGATAAGTCAGTGGTGTCCAAACTGAGACGGCGACAAATGTGCCCGATTATGAAGTTTAGTGCGATAATGCAGTACTAACTAGAAGGAGCTGATAGTCGCCCAGCTTCTCAAGAGCTTCCAAGCTTTTTATAAAACCCAAAGCCTATCCCGAGTCACTTTTGTCCAATCCCTACGTTCTCGTCCATTTTAATATTATACAGCGGTCTTCAAAGTGCTATCTCCCGTTCCGTCACTTTCCCACTGACTCCCCCATGCGTGCTACGCGCTCATACCATCGTAGTGGTAACCTATTTGACTATTTCGTCGAGTGTGTCACTGTGTATCGCCGTGGCAAACCTCTGATTAATTGACGACAGATACTCGTATCAGGGAACTGACAACTAACTTAATGCACGCCTCTCAAGGCAAAATTTGAAATGTGTGCCCTTTCAGCACGCCATGAAGACGGTTACTTGGGACCGAGGCGAAGCTCCACTCGTCATTTTTCGACCAAGGATGTTTGTGAGGGTTTCAGAAAAATCTCCCCTGGCCCCTCAGTTTAGTAGAGACTGTTGTACCTACTATTCGCTGTGAGAACGTTAACCTCGTCGTCATTAAACAATGTCACAGCAAACAGAACAAAACCTGTAGATAAATAAGTGAGAGTTACATTAATCGCTGCCTCCTGCATGTACCTGTCGAGCTTGAATCAGTGTTTGTGAAACGGATAGTAGCAGCAGGGCCGAACACCTCAATGCACGACCTGATCGATAATTGCTACTGAGGTCAGATCTTTGATCGATTTCCTTTGACAGGTGTTATCCAGGAGTTTATGTCGCAATGAGCGGCGACATCCCGAATGCAAGAGTGGCTTATTTGCGTTTAGTGACGACGAACGGAGACAAGGAGATACAGGAATTAGCAGACACTTTGGGGGGCGAGGTGACGAGAAATGTTCCCAGTCCTTGATTTACGGGCTTAATTTGGGGGGGGGGGCAAAGTCCATGTTTTATGTTAACGCTTTGAAGTCCAATGGTTAACCACGCGATCTCCGTAATGATGGAGAGATGTGTTTTCTTTGCGGTACGGACAGAATTATATTAAATGTTACTCAGACGATCTTCGGCTTCAAAGGGTCACATATAATTTTAATGTTTTAAATTTTGTAATTAAGATGTCATACTCTGTCTGAACGAAAAGGATAGAGGAAAAGTTTGATAGATATTTAAGGAGTTGTAAAGTTTTGGAAATGTAATTAATTGGAAGACATTACAAACATGTCGTTTGGTTTATTGATAACATTCACTCAAAAGGTTTTCAGTTCAAAAAAGATAGGCCCACAGAGGTAACAAAACTAGGACACCCTGTACAGTAATTAGAGATAAGAAGTTTGGATAAAATATAATTCTTTATTTCGTAAACACAGGCTTGTAACATCAGATTCAAGAGCGCACTGTTGCCAACAGTTCGGTAAGAGGTGGTCGTTGTTTATACCAGGAAATGCGAAATGATTTCCACTAAATTCAGTACGACGCAAGGCGAGGTGAGAGCTGTCGTGTGTGACCCGCGCTTGGCTCTTAAGACTTCGTGCAGAAGAATTTCTGATTATGCAACGACAGAATTGCATACAACCAAGTTAAATGCATTTTGTTGTATTTTAAAATGATTTCGCTCATATTTTCATTGTTTTTTTCCTACGGCAGTGGATTTCTCAGCAGGATTGATATGACGCAACGAGTATTCAATTTACAAAAGCTACACAAATATTTTGAGCAAGTCCACATTAAAAATATAAATTTTCTCCGTCATGGCCTCGTTCATTCACTGTCAGTTTTATTGTTTATATTAACGAATTATAAGTAAATCGTATAATAAATAATTCAGACAAACATCCAAAGTAGCGTCTTCCGTACACCTTCGAGTTTGTGTCTCCTGGATTACTGAGGTGTTGGACTTCGTACATCATCCGGTATTCTTAAGAAAAAGACCTCTTTTCGAGAACTGGATCTGTTTCGTCGTCAGACTGAGGTCAGTTCTTTGAAAGAGATTCCACAGAAAATTTGCCGTTTCCCGTGAGAGCAGCTGAAGACGACGGCAGGACCAGTTCTCGAAGAGATTTTTTTTGCGTTTTGTAGAATACCAGATGATGGATAAAGACTAGAAACTCAGTAATCCAGATCTAAAAACACTATCATCACAACCCTTTAGAATGAGGATAAGATTTAACCTCACGAATCCGCGTTCATTCAGATGACGATAACGAATTAGCATAGCACAAACTGAAATTTCCTCAGACGTAAGCAGAACTATTAAAACGCTAAGACGCCTGCGTGCTGTATTTGTCACCTCACTCAGCGTTAGGTTAGGTTTCCGGGACAGCTTCTCCACCCGGAGCCCCGGAAAATTAAGAAGTACGAAGTTAGGTAAAAAAATGTTCAGCAAGTCTTGATGTTTTGATACAAATAAAACTTTAATTTATAGCGATATTTAAGAATGCATAAACTTCACTTTAATGCAATGTCGTCTGTCTCAGGTGTTCATAATACCAACATGGCGGCACCCGCACCGGCAAACCTTCCGCGACTCTGATCCCTGAGCCTAGTTTTCTCACGGACGCCGTCTGAGCTCGTAACGTAGGATAACGCATTGCGTGGAAGACGAAATTAAGTGAGCTGATGGGCTACTCCAGGCCACTAGTCGGAGCGCGAGTGACCTTGAATACGAAAGCAGCCGACGTTTCATTGCTAGAAAAGGATCATTAAAACGAAAGGGAAATGGCGTAGCTAAAATATATTATTTTATGATAAACACTGAATAATCAGTAATGTAATTTATTTAATTTATTTTAGATGTAGATTATATACTATGTATAACACGAATTATACACCAACAAATTTGGGGGTACAAAGTTGAAAGAGAAATTATATCTGGGGGTACGCGAACAGAAAAGGTCGAATACCACTGCCATAACACACGAAACTTGTTTCTTACATTTCATTTCAGAGAAGGATTTTGGGTCAGAGGCCCCTTCAATCCTTCAGTCTTGAAGGGGCAGTTGTCACCGTTTACGGAAATTCAGTACAAAATAATAAAATATATCATTTGCGTCAAAATCGTCGAACACAACGAGTGTAGGAATAACCCTTGAAACATTCCGGCCATTCTCGTCGACTGGTCGTTAAACTGCGGGTTTTTAATAACGCCGAATCAGTGCAACAGGTTCGGCCAAACGCTTACCTCACTCATTCTCTATAATAAAATTGGTCATTACTGAGATACAGCGTTTTCTTTCGGTATCAGCTTTAATTTTCTCGCGCGCGCGTCCCTCAAAGTGCGCGTGATAATATTAAAAAGGTGAACGCAGTTCGCACAAAACACATCGTTTTGAGAACCCCTGGATTAGGTATCGAATGTAAAATGACCGAAGGCTTTTAAAATTTTAATTGATTTAAAATTTAATAAGGTTAAGAGTCACTGAAGGCGATCTATGGTGAAAAGACGCACGTCGGATGGCGCTGAATATTGAATTATCAACCTGTCTGCCCTGACCACAATCAGAGGAACGTGGACCAAGGCAACCAACGTTAACCGGTCCACGGGCTTTGATCGGTGGCCTTACTTCCAGTCAGGTCATGTGATTCACGCCTCCCTCCCCAAATACCGCGAGATATCGTTCAAAATAAAAGTTTTGATCAGGACGGCAAATCAAGACGTAAGATGCGCCTGAACGATACACAGAAAGGCGCACATGAGAAAACAGCGTCCGATGTCTTACTTAAGAAGTGACCTCGTCAAACGAAAACGCAGTGTGGCCTTTTTGCACTCAATGAATCGTCCTCATTTATGACCAGGTGACGCGCGAGTCGATCAGGTCTCAGGAGGTTGGAAACCCCTGCTCTAACCTCGTCGCTTTGAGCCGAGAGGGGCGAAATCTTGTCGGACGAGATACAATTCATGAGACCCGTATTCGAGCATTTTATGTGCCACTGATTTCCCCTGTCACAGACGTAGGGGCGAGGCCCACCGCCAAAACGAGCGAGTATAAACATGAGCCCGGAAAAGCGTCCTATCCCAGCTACAGCCCTCTCCTCCTTTCAGAAATTTCTGCAGGACGTCTCGCAGGGGTCGACGCCGGCAGGGGTGGACAAGACGGGAAGCGTCTTTGTGCGCTAAATGTAATTTATTTAATCGTTTCTTTGCTGTGAAAGTGTCAAAAATGTTACAATAAAATGCATTAAGAGCACAGTCGTGTCGGTGTTGAATAAATCGATACGTATCGATTGTGCAGACGCCTCAAAGACTGAAACAGGAGAAGGAATCCCGAGCCCTGCAACGCGTTCCTGGTCCGAACGCAGACGAAAACTTTAATCGTTGCGACACGAAAATATAAAAATATGCGGAGGCCAATTTCGTGTCCCGAAGCAAACGAGAAATTCAGACACACGCAAAAAAGTAGGCCCATGTTTTTAGAACTGCTCACGTCCGTCCGTTTCAAGGCACCGAACTGAGTTCGTATTTCTTTGCGTTCAAGGTAATCGGTCCACGTGCACTCGTACAAAAAGGACTGCGTGACTGACAGGCGCCTTCAGTATCTGTCGTGCGTCAGCTGATAGTCGGCGCCGCCGTCCGCGTGTCGCGACGCGTTGAAGCCCTGGTGATGCCCGCCGACCCCCATTCCCGGGTACGTGGCCATCTGGTGATGGTGGTGGTGGTTGAACCCGTGGTGGGAGTAATG